TTCCGCGGTGGCCCAACTCCAATAGATGAGGATCAGATGTTTTCAGGCTTTCTCCTAAGTTCTGGATCCCTCCAAGAAGGATTTTGGCCTCAGGAATTTGTGGGTTGGACTGGCCTGGGAGCCTGGCCCAGGAAAGATGCTGGTCTAGGGCAGCTGGTGGCCATGCCACCCAGAGATGCAAAGGCAGATGGCGTGGGAAAAGGCCCCAAGTACTCCTGGGGATTGCACTGAGGAGCTGTGCTGGTCTGGATACAAAGTATCAGGAAGAGGAATGGTCAGCCCCAGAGCTCCAGAAAGAGGCTGGCAGGTGGTGCAGGCCCTGGGAAGCAGAGGGAGGTGAGGGCGTGGCCAGGCCCAGAAGCAGTGTTCCTGGGCCCAGAGAAGGCAGTAAGCTGGTCTGGATGAAAAGGATCAGGAAGCAGTATTGCTTCCCTAGGTGTCTGGAGCCCCAAGACAAGGAATGGGGCAGGACCCAAACTAGAAGAAGAGACCCGCCTGGGGGAGATGGGAGGGTGAATGAGGCTGGGGGAGTCAAGGTGCAGAGGGCACGATGGACATACCCTGGAGAGAGGCCTCAGGGTCTCTGTTTTTAATTTTTATGTGTATGAGTATATTGCCTGCATGTATGTAGGTGCACCTATGTGGAGGTCAGAGAAGGTGTCAGATTCCTTGGAACTGGAGTTATAGATAGTTGTTAGCCACCATGTGGGTGCTGGGAGCTGAACCCAGGTCCGTTTCAAGAGCAGCCAGTGCTCTTAACTGCTTCACCATCTCTCCAGCCCCTGCCCACTCTCTTTCTTATATACTTTTTCCTCCTTTTTGAGATAAGGCTTTACTATGTAGCCTAGGCTAGCCTCAAACTCATGATCCTCCTGCCTCAGCCTCCTGAGGTCTGGGATCACAGCGGGCACAATCAGGCTCACCACTTTCTCATGCTCTCAGCACACGTATTTTATTCCTTGAGCACATCACCTGATGGGAGTGCAGAGCTGAAATATTTTTCACTTTGGGTATGCTAGTAAATGGCCATTAGTGTATTTATTCGCCTTTTACAAAAACAGCGATTTCTAGTCTTAAAAAAAAAAAAAAACCTTAAAATCTAGTCCAGTGACTATTTCAGAATCAAATATTTCTTAAAGACCATTCTTCTTTTTATCCCCCTTGAAGTGAGACTGGCAATGCTGTAAATTCATACACTATAAGTTTCCAAGTGGCCCTTGTATCGGGGTATAAGCAGTAGCCTTGGCCCCAGTCCCTTCTTCTCATGAAGATGTGTGGTGCAGGGAAGATCCTGCAGTGTCCTGGCCATGGGCATTACCAGACAGCTATGGGACATTCATAGAATGGTTCTGGGAGCCTCCCCCATCTCCAGTGTCACAGTGGCAGTGGCCTGGATCTTTCAGGGAACATGTGGTTTTTCTTCATTCCCCCAAGTTTCAAGATTCAGGATAGGTGAGGGAGCCATCAGTGGGGTGAATAAGAAATCTTAGGTTCTGTTCTTGGCAGAAGGGGCCTGGGAAGGGATGGAGCCAGGTGCAGGATGAATGGTTTCTGGGGTTGGAGGAGAACTTGGGTGAGGGTGGAGCTAAGGCTGCTTTCCTATGTCCTGGGGCCAGAGAAGGCAGAGGTGAATTGGGTAGGGTGGCAGCGCTGTAGCCTGAGGGACGGCCTTTCAGCCCCTGCTCTGTGTTCTAGGACTGAAACGACATTTTACTCACATGAGTTGTTCCAGTGTTCAGACCTTCATTTCTTCAGATGTCTGTCGAAAGGGTTGAGGTCCATCATGTTAAAGTTCTGTTCCAGTTCCAGTTCCAGTAAATAAGCTACAAGTGGCAAAACACAGCCTTCTCAGTTTATTTTTTAAGGAAGCATTTGCTAATTTCTACCTAATACACTTGAACTCTTTGATATTTATACTTTAACCATCTCTCAGGCCCTAAAATGGCATTTTTATTTTTGGAAGTAAATGAATAGCCCCCATTTGATTGGAGCATGGTGTGGAGCAGGAAGACGACTCCCAGAAGTGGTGGGATGGTGATACAGAAATACACTCAGCCTTGGGTTCTAGGAGCTATGGTGCAGGAGCCAGGCTTTAGAAAACCCTATGGGGTCTTCATCCAGTCTCCAGACTCCCAAGGGGCCTAGGAGTCTGTGGGCATGATAGGATTCTGTTTTTACTTTTTTATATCACTGTACTGTCCCCATAGCACATACTACCAGTCTGTGTTCCCACCAGAAGTGCATGAAAGTTACAATTTCTTCACATGCTTTCAAACACTTGGCATATTGGCTTTTTTCATTTTGTTTTTAAAGTAATAGTCACCTTAATGGGTATAAAGTGGTATCTCACTGTGGCTCTGATTTTCATTTCCCTAATGATCAGTGATATTGAACTAATGACTGATATCTTTTCATGTACTTATTATAGATCATTTATATGATTTTTCTGGAGAAATATCTAT